CTGGAACTACAGTCGCACGCTACCACACCCGCAGGCTCAGGCAATCCACTCACTCAGCCTCCCAAAGGTGCGGGATTACAGGCTGAGCCACCGAGCCCGGCTAGTAGTGACATTTTTGAAGACTATGGACCAGATTTTGTTTTTTTTTTTGAATGTTGCTTATTTTGCATCTATTTGACATCTCATGATTAGATTCAAGTTATACATTTTTGGCAGGACTAAAATTGATATTAGTTTAAAATAGATATTAATTTTTAATTAGTATTGATTTCTTAAAGTTGAAAACTAGATTACTTTTCATCTTGTGCCTTTATTTTACCTTCACTATCTTGATAATCTGTATATAAATCTAGTAAGTAGTAAGTAACTATAAAGTAAGAACAAACAGTTGTGGGGGGTTTGCTTTAAACAGTGGTCGATAAGCTGAAGCTAGACAGACTAAATTCTCATTAATCCATTCAATTTGTAACTTAATCACATTCCCTTAAACATTTAAAGTTGTATTTGTAAATAAATATATCTAATCTTTTTAATCACTTTAAATGCCTGCTAAAGCAAGCCTGAACACTTTAGCAAACACTTTACTAACTACTTGAATAATTCTTGTAAGTTAAAAATTAAACTTATAAATACCCTTGATTCCTCAGTCTCCTGAACATTTTATTATTGTTGAAAACATTCACATTTTTACTTTTTAACCAGTCACAAGTCCAAATCAATTATAATCTAGCACATTCTCAAAGATATCAGGCTTTCAAACATTCCACGTAGTTTGATACCAAATGTACAAAGATTATTCTGAACTTCACGCAAAGCTATTAACACTATGATTTTTGTTTATTTCAGCATCTCTGTATTTAATTCTTTTTCTTCCTTAGCTTGTCAAGATACATGGATACATGGAAAGCAGGTCTATTATGGAAGGTGGGTTGAGGTTACTGTGCTAATAGTTGCAGTATGTGCCATTTATACAGTTACTTATCTGGCAGAGATTTGTGGTTGAGGAAGCATATTTCCAGGTTCCTTTTGAACTACAGATAAATCCTTTTTGTAATTATGTGAGGCTAAGCCTCATGCAGTTGCTATGACAACGGATAGCAGTCCACACCCTTCAGATGCGGTGGATTTTCAACCTTGGTCTCCTGGGTTGCTACCCTTATGTTCTTCCATCTGATTTGAGTAGGTCTAGTTCTGCATTCTCATCCAGATTGCAACTGATTTCCTCTCCTGCTTGATTACATTCCGCATTTCTTTAACTCTTGGCAGCATTATATAGTTAGTCATTTTTTTCTCTCTGATTGGATTTTACATTTCCTTTCAAAACCTTTGGCCACAAATCTCAAGCTTTATACTAATGAAAATGTCCTTCTCTAATTTCTTCATGTTACTTTGAATTATAGCCTTTGGAGTTTGACTTAGATTCCCAGAAAGAGTTCTACTAGTGCTATGTAACTTGATTATGAAGATTCCAGGCCAGCCATGACTTTGAACATCTGAGAGCTCTGTGTACATTGTGTAACTAGAAATGACTGACGGTGTTCTCTTTTGAATTTTGTTGTTGAATTGCTTTCAAGCAGATCCTAGGGCTGAATCACAATTGAACATATAAAATAAAAGTAGGAATAGATCATATATAAGAACGTCATGAAGTCATGGACAGTGGCTACTGTTTATTATGATGTGCTATTTGCTTTTGGTAATTTAATTTGATTTTGCTTATTTAGAGTGTCTGGGATAATAGCAGTTGCTCTGTTTTCTTGGCAGATATTCTATCCTGTTCCTCTTTGTTCCTGTACAGTTCTCTTTCTTAAGTGTAGTTATTAAAAGTATGTGTTTTCAAGCCTGTAATCCCAGCACTTTGGGAGGCCAAGGTGAGAGGATTGCCTGAGCTCAGGGGCTCAAGACCAGCCTGGGCAACTTGGTAAGACCTCATCTCTACAATAAATAAAAAAATAAACCAGGCATGGTAGCATACTCCTGTAGTTCCAGCTACTTGGAAGTCTGAGGAGAAAGGATTGCCTTAGCCCAGCAGGTTGAGGCTGCGATGGCCATGAGTGTGCCTCTGCACTCCAGCCTGGGCAACAGAGTGAGACTCTGACTTAAAAAAAACCCCCCAAAAACCCAAAAAATAAATAAATAAAAATAAAAGCACATGTTTTAGAATCAGTGGAGCCTGAGTTGAAATTGCAGTTCTGCAGTTTATTAGCTGTGTGACTGAACCTCTTAGAGCCATCCGTGAGGTAATACTACTTACCTTGCAGAGTCATCATAAGGATTAGGTGAGATATTTCTTGCTGAACACATCGCATAGCACCTGGAATAGGAGTTGGTATAATGGTTATTTTTCTCACTTGCCATCTTTGTTGTGTTTTTGTTATCACCCCTTGTCTCTGGTCTGCTTCAGACATCTTGTTAAATCCTGATCCCTCTTTTGGTTTTTCTGTAAGTGGTGCATCGCTTATATTCACTATGTATTTCCTCTACTTTGTAATGTTGGTAGAGGTATAACTGATGCTCTATTTATTGTAAAGATTTCTTCTCTTTGTCCTCTGGGAGAGCCCCTCAGTTTTCCCTTCTGGGCTACCATGAAGGGAACCCATAGGTAATCAGCTCTCCACTCAGAGGGCCATTACTTATATGTCCATCTTTCTTTGATCTTGGGAATTTCCAGCAGAAAATGGACACATTTTGCAGGTGCTTAGTGTGAATTGTCCCAGTAATACAAGGTTGTCTAGGTTTCCACTGTTTGAAGAAACTGATTTTATGCTCCCTCCTACCTTGTTTTTTATGGTTATAGTCATCATTACCCTCTAGGGGGCAATGAGAGGGTGCTGGCACAGAGGAGCTGACCACCGACAATTAGAAATCACAATACCCCTCATCCTCACCATGCTAGCTCCTTTCCACTTCCAGTTTTGCTTTGCTTAAGTGGTGCCAGCTAAAGGAATGGCCATGACTTTGAATAAATTTCAAAGGCTGAATACCCAAATGGGGGAATTAGCAGCAGTACCTATGGTCTTCTTAGACAACAAGCAGTAGGAAACTGATCAAATTCTACAAATTTCTACTTGTCCAGGGTAAGACCAGGTTGGTCATGATCAGGGTTTCCCCTAGTTGTTCAGAGTTATAAATGAACACCAAGGCTACATGAACAACTAACCATGAAGTCTAAACAAACAAGAATAGTTTTGGGTAATTGACTATAAGCAACGTTGTTTGGATAAATATTTGCTAGATACATACTCATATAATGCTGATAACTATTAAGTACCAGATGTCAGATATTCTGAAAAAAATATTGCTTTGGAGTCTAACAACCCTTTGGAATAAGTGTTATAATTATCTCCATTTTTACACTTAAGAAGTGAAATCCATTGCCTAGAGTCATATGTTCAATAAACGATAGAGCCAAGACCTAAACTCATATCCACCTAGGAACAAAGACCATGCTTTAATCACTTTCCTGTAGACATATGTCATGAAGAGCTGTGAAATGGCCACATTAGTGGGATTTTTCTTTGCCAAATTAAGAAAATTTTATGCCGGTCAGGAGTCAGCAAAAAGCACTGATTTAAGGAAGAACCTATCAACTCCAAAAATACTGTCCCTAGATGTTCATTAATTCCACCAATCCATGACTCATTGGGTCAATAAGCAACTCCTTCTCAAGAAGAGTAAGAAGTTATATCAGTCATTTTACTCTAGGTGTGAATTAAGTCACTCAGGATGTTTCCCAAACAACAAACTGCAAGGTACCGTATGATAAAAGATTTGATGCTCAAGGGAAGAGAAAGTGGAGGCGATTTTGGAATACAGAGACCCTTTGGAATAGGGTAGACCTTGGTGAGTTTTGTCCAACCATAGGGTAGCAAACAGTAAAGTGGGAAGAGAGAGGGAATTTAGAAGGCTGAACAGGGCAGGGGTACAGAAGGAGAGGTGGGCGGGCCCCAAAGACAAGTGTACCTCCCTCCTGCTTTTGCTGGCCCTGAGCATCCTCATTGAGCCCTTGCTTGTGATGAGAGGAAGGGTTTGGAATAAGAAGTAGTCGAGACAGCTGTCCTCAAATTTCCACAGTCACCAGATGTATCTGGGGCTTTCTTAAAAATGGAGATGTCTGAATTCTACTTATTAGAGAATCAGATTAGCAGGTGAACTGGGCCCAGGAACTTGGATTTTTGTTTTCTTTTTTTTTTGAGTCGGAGCCTCACTCTGTCACCCAGGCTGGAGTGCAGTGGCATGCTATCAGTCACCATAGCCTCGACCTACTGGGCTCAGGTGATCCTTCTGCCTCAGCCTTTCAAGTAGCTGGAACTGCAGGCATGTGCCACCACCTTCGGCTAATTTTTTGATTTATTGTAGAGATGAGGTCTCGCCATGTTGCTCAGGCTGGTCTCGACTCCCTGAGTTCAAGCAGTCCTCTCGCCTCAGCCTTCCACAGTGCTGGGGTTACAGGCTTGAGCCACTGTGTCTGGCTCACTAGGTGATTTTAATGCAGATGGTCTGAGGACCAAACTTTTGGAGACTTTGGATTGAAGTCTCTTCCATTGGGCTAATGGGCGAGTCTATGCCCAACCCAGAGTATGATCCGGAGGTTTCTATAAAGGTATGGATAACCTGGCTGAACAACTGAAGGTACTTGAATCAAAGAAGGTCTTCCTCTCTTTGAGAACTGTGTTTAATTGAACCAACCAAAGCTCTTTAAGGTGCAGAACATTCTGCCTCAGTGACAGGCTGCCCTAGTGTTTTTTGCCTCTCAGCTAGTTTCTGGCTTCTTCCCTTGGCTTGGCTTGGCTTGGATGTAAGGTGACAGGAAGAGCAGGCCAGCTGAAGAGAACCAAGGGTGATAGGCTGGACACTGAAAATAGGATTTTCAGTGTGAAATGGGGATGGTCCCAAGCAAACCGGGATGGTTGGCCACCCTACTTGTGCAAAAGCCCTCCTGGTGTAGAGCCATTGCTAATTCTATTCAACTACAGAAGGACTGTGCCATGATGTGTCAGGCCAGGAGAGTAGCTCCCTGGGCTGGTTTGGTATACCAGTAGAAGCGGTTTCTTTTTTCTTTAGTGGAAAGTCTCCTTGCCGTTTAGTTTTTCTGGCTCATTTCCTGCAGCTGCAGGAGGCTGAATGCAGGTAACCTCACTTGGTCTGAGAAGTAACTACTCAGTGCCTCACTTTTGTCAAATATCATTATGCCAAGAATCATTGCCAGCTTTCCTTTTTCTTTTTACATCTCCACTTTGGCTGTACCTAGGATGTGGGTTTACTGAGAATAGAGAAATTGGATCTTAAAACAGCCCTTTGGAAGGATAAGGATGGGGAAACATCAGAGAAAGGGGGTTAAGGAAGGATGGGCTGTCCTGTTGGCAGAGGCCTGTGGCCTCACCTCACCCAATGACTCTTCTCTTTCAGAGAGATCCTACTATATTCTTACTGAATTCAGCTTGAAAGAGGAAAATGTGTTTTCCTGAATGAGGAATGTCTCGAGGGTGGAGTTCAGGCTGTTTTGCTCTCAGCTGGGGCTCTGGGATGAAATAGGGCCTGTTACACACAAAGCTCTGTTTGAACTAAAATGAGTCACAAGAGGTGTCCAAGAAGGAAATGAACGAGTATACTGGCACCTGGACAAGTGTTGCCCTTGACTGAGGATGGACCGGTTGAATGATCAAGCTGAATAATTCTGTTTTTGTTTTTTAAAAAAGGCATAAAATATAAAGTGTGTGATGCGTGTGTACTTAGATAACAAACAGGGTCTGAAAGGAATTCATAAGAGGAATTCTGCAAACTGTTTTAAGCCATAGCAGCGTTGTTGAATAACAGTAGTACACCTTCCAGGTGAAGAGAGAACAACATTCTCCTGGATGAACAAAGTCTAATGTTTGTTAGAATCAGTAATCGCTTAGTTCATGATTTGATCCCAGAAGCTTTCCCCATCTAATTATATTGTGCATACGCTAATATTAATAGTAATTTACAATTGCTAAACACACACTTTGACAGAATAGTTGTAAGGGGAAAAAGGAAAATGTTCTAGAGCTTTCTGCCTAGTAGGAAATCACTTTTGAATGGAAATTTGCCCAAACCTGGGTAATTGGGGATAGACAGTATAAGATAACCCTTGAATGAGAGACTGAAGGTTGTTTATAATGTGAGTTGACATGGGTGGACTAGTATCCCTTAAAATTTATAAAATATGTGCAGGAAATCTGGAAAAAAAACTAGACTAAGAGAACTAATCCTGCTTCCTGCCTCTAGCATTACAAAGTATTTTTAATACTGTTGCTAAATGACCTGGAAACAAAAACACTATAGAGTAAGAGTACATTGCCTTTATAAAGCAGCTTTGAGTCTAGGAGAGTAGAACATGACTTGATTAAGTCGAAGTCTTACTTTTTGAGGGCATGGAAAATTTGGCACCTGTTTTGAATTTGTCTTAGGTAAGTGTGCAGGTCTATGGGAAAAAAAGTGACGCTTATGCAGGACAAAAATGACCATCAGCATTAAGTGGTCCCTAGTTGGGGCACCCTAAGGCTCTGGGATTCTAGGAAGCCACCTTGCCCATCCAAGCCCTACTTTGCTATTTTTTTGAGACATATATTTCTTTGGAAATGATACCACTAGGATTAATATGATGGAATCTTTACTGTAATAATAACTAATGTGTATTGGGGACTATGTCTCCAAGATTAATATTATAGGATTTTTGCTGATAATAATAGCTAACGTGTACTGAGGGCTCATGATGTATCATACACAGTTCTGAATGGTTTGTCTATATTCACTCATGTGATCCTTATAACTCTATGAAGGTGCTCTATTTTTTCTGTCCCCATTTTAAGATGAAGAAGAGCTGATGTACAGAGAAGAGACTAACTTGACTCAAACCCACACAGTGTGTAAATAGTAGAATTAAAGTAGGGTCTGGCTTTAGGACTTATACTCTTCTTCTCATCCTCTTTTGGGGATGTCCCCCCCATCATTGATTGGGGATCATAGAGAAATTATAACAGGTTACACTTCACTGATAGTAAGCAACACTCCACCGAGCCTAGCCTCCTAAGATGTAGCAATTTTCCCCTTCCATGATTTAACCAGTAATTTCATTTTGTGAAAAACATCACCTGCTTTTCTTTTCTTGAAGCCATGACTTCTACTGAGGTAAATGGTGTGAGGACTGAAGTTTCAAAAATCAAACTCAAAGTGTCACAATAAAGAAAACTGGCAAAAGGATGAAGTTGGACCCCTGCCTCATACCATACCAAAAATATTAACTCAAAATGGACCAAAGACTTAAATGTGAGAGCTATAAGTATAAAACTCTTAGAAGAAAACATAGGCATATAAATATTTGTGCCTTTGGATTAGGAAGCCAAGAAACATAGCACCAGAAGAAAAAAGTAAACTAGATTTCATCCACATTTAATATAATTTTTCTTTTATTTATATTTTTTATGTATATATTTTATTATAAAGATGTGGGCTGCAATTCAGGGTTAGGTATACAAACATTGATTATGCAGGTACCTTGTTGATGAGGTATGCCCCTCCCTCCCCTAGCAGTTTCCCTCAACCTCCAATCCTACCTCCTCCCCTGACAGTTTCCCATTACTGCCAATCCCTTTCTTATAGTATTATGATAATTGTTCAAGGTCCACTTATGAGTGAGAGCATATGGTACTCTGTTCTTTGTTTCTATGTTTTCTTTTAAAGGATGCTATCAAGAAAGTGAGAAGACAAGACTATTCATAAAATGCAGAAAATATTTTCAACTCTTATATCTCATAGAGGACTGGTATTCAGAGTATATAAGGAACTGTTACAACTCAATAATAAAAAGACAAATACCCATTTAAAAATAGGTAAAAAGAGTTGAATAGACATTTCTCTAAAGAAGATATACAAATAGTGAATGAACATATGAAATGAGGCCCAGAATCATAAGTTAGACATAGAATTACCATATAACCCAGCAATTCTGCTTATTGGAAGAAAATTGAAAACATATGTCCATACAAAAACTTATACATGATTGTTCATAGCAACATAATGCATAGCAATCTAAATATCCACTAATTGATGAATGAATAAACAAAAATGTGGTTCTATATAGTGGAACATAATTCAGCCCTTAAAAGGAATCAAGTGCTGATATATACTATAACGTGGTGAATCTTGAAAACATTAAGCTAAATGAAAGAAATCAGACCCTAAAGACCACATATTGTATGACTCCATTTATTTGAAATGTCTAGGACAGGCAAATCCATAGAAACAGAAAGTAAATTAGGTTGCCAGAGGGAAACGGGATAATGGGGAGTGACTGCTAATGAGTACAGTGCTTCTTTTTGGGGTGATGCAAATGTTCTGAAATTATACAGTAGTATTGTTTGCAAAACTTTGAGAATGTACTAAAACCCACTGAATTATACACTTTAAAAAGGTGAATTTTATGGTATTAGGATTATATCTCAATATAAACACATACATACATGTAGCATACATACTAAAAGAGCAGAAACAAAGTTGTAGCTTTCCTTCTGGGAAAAAGTAGGAAACAAAGTCACTATTGATCATTTTACCAACTTCATCTTGAGAACGCGCACTAAGGGGCACCAGGACCAAGCTCTTCACCACATGAACTTTTTGTTTTCTTCCTTTTTTTCTTCTCCTTATTTCTTCTCTCAAACTTAATGGTTAGAAGAAATGATTAATTTAGTGGGGAGAAAGAAGATGGTGCTTCTGTTTTAATCTTGAGGTCAGTACTCCATGTCGTGACCTGTCAGACACACCAGAGATTCTACACAGATTACAAAACACATCGTATGGTCCTATTGTGCTTTTTTCCAGCTGGATTGTTTTTGGTTTGGTTTTGTTACTTTTGCTTATTCGTTTATTTTACAGAGAAAATTTTTACAGTGAGAAAAGTTCAAGTCCACTGAGACCTAACTGAGGATGATAGACTTTGTCATTGTTTCTTTCTGTTTTTGGTATTAGTGTAATTGTGAGAGTCACAGAATGAGTTAGGAAGTATTCCCTCTGCTTTTATCCTCTGGAAGAGAGTATAGTGAACTGATATAATTTTCTCCTTAAATGTTTGGTAGAATTCATCAGTAAACTCATTTAGGCCTTGTGCTTTCTGTTTTAGAAAGTTATTAATGATTGATTCAGTTTCTTTAATAGATAGAGGCCTATTCAGATTGTCTGTTTCTTCTTGTGTGAGTTTTGGCAGATTGTGTCTTGCAAGGAATTGGTCCATTTCATGTAGGTTATTAAATTTGTGAGCGTAGATTTGTTCATAGTATTTTAAAATTATCCTTCTGATGTCCATGGCATCTGTAATGATGGATCCGCTTTCGTTTCTGATATTAGTAATTTGTGTCTCCTCTCTTTCTTATTCTGCCTAGAAGCTAATTGATTCTATTGATCTTTTCAAATAATGAGTTTTTTGTTTCATTGATTTTTCTCTATTGATTTCTTGTTTGCAATTTCACTGATTTCTGCTCTCATTTTTATTATTTCTTTTCTCCTGCTTACTTTGTATTTAATTGCTCTTCTTTTTTCTAATTTTCTAAAGTGGTAAGTTAGATCATTGATTTTAGATCTTCCTTCTTTTCTAATATATACATTCAATGCTATAAATTTCTCTCTAGGCATCGATTTTGTGACATCCCACAAATTTTGATAAGTTGTTTCATTTTCACTCAGTTCAAAATATTTTAAAATTTCTCTAGAGATTGTATTTGGGGATTTTTCAGCTCTCTTTCTGTTATTTTTAGTTGAATTCCATTGTGGTCTGAGAGTATATGTTGGATAATTTCTATTCTTTTAAATTTATTAAGGTTTATTTAATGTGATCTATATTGATGAATGTGCTACATGAACTTGAGAAGAGTCTGTATTTTGCTGTTGTTAGATGAAGTAGTGAATAGATGTCAATTACATGCAGTTGAATGATGGTGGTATTGAATTCAATTATGTCCTTGCAATTTTTTGCCTGCTGGATCTATCCATT